TATCAGGAGCTAATTCTGGTGTTTCTGCAGCAATTCTGAGCAAATGGCATTTACAGTTTTGTTCAAGAATGTTTGCAAAACTGCTTCAAAACAGGAACCAGACTGGCTAACATCTCAGGATAATAAAGCTAACGTCTCCCTCCTTGGAGACATTCACAGATAATGTCTCTTTCTAGACTGTAGGAAGGCAAGGTCAGCCAGCAACTCCCACAAAGATAAAAATCGTTGTCTCACATTTTTTCAGCTGTGACACAGATGAACCGTTTGTGGAGGATCAGCCTAGCCCTCCGCATTGCCCTTTTGGGATGTGGGACAAAAGCGAACCGATGGGAACATGAGTTATGCTGCCTGCTGTGCCATGAGTAATAATCTACAGGCATTTGGGCTTGTTTTCTCCTTACCAATCAAGTACATGGAAGTATGGCAAGCTGGCCAGTTTCTGCTCCTTGCCATCTACCTAACTACTTGACAGATTAAAATTGGAGATTGTAATAAAATATGAATTTGGAAGAAGAGGTGAATTACTTAGTCTGCATAAAAATCTATCTAAAAAGGGAAGAGGATGAAAAGAAAACACAGCATTCTTGCTGACTGTTCTGGGAGTAGTTCTAAAGTATACATTTTCCATTACCATCCCTTGTGGTGGGCAAATCCTTTACGGAAAATAATGTGTCAAGATATCTTAGTTGGATATAATTATCTGTTAAAATATCAAAATAGCCCTGGCTGGTATGGCTACATTGGTTGGACATCCAAGGGTTGCAGGTTCGATTCCCAGTCAGGGCATACACCCAGGTTGTGGGCTTAATCCCCAGGAGGTTGTGTGCAGGAGGCAGTCAAATTGATGTTTTGCTAATACATCAATGTTTCTCTCTCTCCTTCTTTCTTTTTTCTAAAATTAATTTATAAATCCTACAAAACATCAAAATAAAGCCCTAATTTGGATCATATACTCACTAAGTAAATGTAAATGTGAAAATGACTATTTCTCATTTAAAGATGATGATACTTCTCTTAACAGTTATATTTCAAATGTAAACAGTAGATCTCTCGATCTCTCTCTCTCTCTCTCTCTCTCTCTCTCTCTCTCTCTCTCTCTCTCTCTCACACACACACACACACACACACACACCCTCTATGAGAGTTTTATTACAATTAGTCAACCACCAAATCTAACACTTGGCAAAACTTAAGTTTAGAAATCTATATAAACTGAGACTAGTCCTGGACTTAGTGAAAAACAAGGTTTTCATGGGAGGCAAATATAATGTACAGAGTATGCAGAGGGAATAATATAACATAGATACACATAATAACATGGAGTATACTTGTCATCTTTACTTCATTTTGAAGTAAAGAAAGGTCTTCTAAAAACTTACTTTATGTTCCAAACTTTGGCCTTGAGAATTTTAATATGGCTACACTCAGTATAGTAATTTAATTCAATAAGTGTTTATTACATATCTAAATGGACTTGCACTGATGTAAGTGCTGGAAATACAATAGTGAATAAAACACTGAAATAATAACTCCATTCAGCCCTAAAATTGATACTCAGTTATTGAGGTATTACCCTTGGTGTAAAATGACAAGCACCAAACTTGTCATTTGACAAGCTACAGGAAGACACCAGGGAAGTCTGAACCACTCTGAATATAAGCTGAATATCACCCATTACGGTTTATAGTTCTAATGGCCCGGTGCACAAAATTTGTGCATGGGGGTGTGTTCCTCAGCCCGGCCTGTACTCTCTCCAAGTGGGATCAAGCCTAAAACAGCAGTTGGACATCCCTCTTGCAATCCGAGTCTACTGGCTCCTAACCACTCACTTGCTTGTCTGCCTGATCACCCCTAACCATTCTGCCTGCCAGCCTGCTTGCCCCCAACTAGTCCCCCCCACCACCAGCCTGGTTGCCCCCAATTTCCCCCCCTGCCAGCCTGATCACCCCCAACTGCCCTCCCTTTCTGACCTGATTGCCCCTAACTGCCCCTGTTTTGTCCCTGCCACTATGGCTTTGTCTGGAAGGTCTCCTGGTCTAATTAGCATATTACCCTTTTATTAGTATAGATAGAGGCCTGGTGCATGGGTGAGGGCCAGCTGGTCTGCCCTATAAAGGAATCAGTGTGGGGGTTCCCTTGGGGGGCGAGGCCCACCTGTTGGGTCGGCACCTAAGTAATTGCGGGTTTCACACATATATGGCTTCAGTTGAATTTTTAGGTTTGCAGACGTAGTACAAATGTAAAACACATTTTGTTATTTGATAGTTGGCTATTCAGCTGTTAATCAGTAAAAAAAGTTTTTTGATCTGTTTTGTAGTTTTTGTTTGGCGTTCGTTGAAAAATGGAAAATCAAAAGGAACATTTTCGTCATATTTTGCTTTTTTATTTCCGCAGAGGGAAAAACACATCGCAAGCTCATAAAAAGTTATGTGCTGTTTATGGTGACGAAGCCTTAAAAGAATGGCAGTGTCAAAATTGGTTTGCCAAATTTCGTTCTAGTGATTTTTCACTCAAAGATAAAAAACGCTCTGGTCGTCCAGTTGAAGTTGATGACGCCCTCATCAAAGCAATAATCAATTCGGACTGTCACAGTACAACACGTGAGATTGCAGAGAAGCTTCATGTATCACATACATGCATTGAAAATCACTTAAAACAACTTGGCTATGTTAAAAAACTCGATACATGGGTTCCTCACGAACTGAAAGAATCACAGTTAACACAACGTATTAGCAGCTGCGATTTGCTAAAGAAACGTAATGAAAATGATCCATTTTTAAAACGACTGATAACTGGCAATGAAAAATGGGTTGTTTACAACAATATCAAGTGGAAAAGATCGTGGAGCAGGCCAGGTGAACCAACTCAAACAACATCAAAAGCTGATATTCATCAAAAGAAGGTTTTGTTATCAGTTTGGTGGGATTACAAAGGAATTGTCTACTTTGAACTCTTACCACCCAACCGAACGATCAATTCTGATGTCTACATTGAACAACTAACGAAATTAAACAATGCAGTTGAAGAAAAGCGGCCCGAATTGACAAATCGAAAAGGTGTTGTATTCCATCATGACAATGCAAGGCCACACACATCTTTGGTCACTCGGCAAAAATTAATGGAGCTTGGTTGGGATGTTTTGCCACATCCACCATATAGTCCTGACCTTGCACCATCTGATTACTTTTTGTTTCGATCTTTACAAAACTCCTTGAATGGTAAAAATTTCAATAATGATGATGATGTCAAATCGTACCTGATTCAGTTTTTTGCTAATAAAAACCAGAAGTTTTTTGAATGTGGGATTATGATGCTGCCTGAAAGATGGCAAAAGGTCATTGATCAAAATGGGCAATACATTACAGAATAAAGTTATTTAGTTCCATGAAAAAATTGTCTTTGATTTTCTTTAAAAAATCCGTAATTATTACTTAGTTGCCGACCCAACTGGGAAGGGGCCTGGGGAGATTTGCAGGCTAGCCATGCTCCCATCAAGGTGGGAGTTTCTGCTGGTGGGCGTGGTCCGCCTGGGTGAGGGGCTGAGGGCCATTTGGGGGCAGTTTATAAGGTCGGCCAAGCCCCCAGCTTTGTCTGGAAGGATGTCTGGAAGGTCTCCAGAGGGTCTCCTAGTCTAATTAACATATTACTCTTTTATTAGTATAGATTGTGTATCGAGTTAGGCTTCCACTCTATGACTCATATTTCATTGATGACAGCTCTCTTAGAAACTCCTCAGGCTTCTGCCAGTGCAACTTCCCACGCTCAGTCCCTTCCTCAGCTCAAGTGCTCCTTCAAGTAAGACTTCTGTAGGTTTGCAGACAGATTTCATGAGCAGATTTCCCTTCACTAAATCCCTTACCTTGCTTGTCAAATAAAGAACAAATCTGGACTAAGGAAGAAGAGAGTATTTGAAAGGATTATTGCAAGAGGTGGAAGTGGAGGGGCTGGGGAGGGACTATTGCAATAAGAGCCCTGACCATAAAATCTGAAGGCTTCTCAAGGGTTAGGCAAAAGAGAGTTTCTTGTACAGTGAGGAAGAAACCAGGCTGCAAAAAAGCAAGGCAAAAAGGAAGCTTGATTGGATAGTAGATCAAAGAATGTTTTACCCTGAGGTCCATGTACACTCAAGAGAGACTGAATGCTTGGCACTGGCTGAGGGTGGATCAAAGTTAAGATGCCTGGAAGGAGAGAAGCTTCAAGTTTAAGAATTATTTTGTTTCCATTCACCAGTGCGCATAAGCAGTTCACCTAATTATTTATGAGGCAAAAAAAAAGTGGGGGGGGATTTGGAGAGTCCGTATCTTACCTAAATCATATGGGGAAGCATCTTCTTGCAGTAAGCTATTTCCTAGACACAAAGAGGATTTCTTTCTTTCTTTCTTTCTTCTTCTTTTCTTTTCTTTTCTTTTCTTTTCTTTTCTTTTCTTTTCGTTTCTTTTTTCTTTTTTTTCCCCCCAAAGGGGATTTCTTAAATTGTCATTATTTTACAGTATCATAGAGCTTGGGTAAAGTTCAAAATTCTTACACTTTATAATTTTACTAGAGGCCCAGTGCATGAGTTTGTGCAAAGGTGGGTTCCAGGCGGCCTGCCCTCAGTCAGGGTTGGGGTGGGGGGGAGGGAGAATCCTGGTTGAACTCCCAGTTGGGATAATTTGCATATTAGCCTTTTATTATATAGGATATTAATTGGCTTATCTGACTTAGGTGTATATCTCTCATTAAATTTTGATACAGGAAAACATGGGCTCTCCAGGCAATCTGTGTGCTAGCTAGCAGTCAGAGCATACAAAGGAAAGAAGGAACAAAGGATCTTGAAGAGTCAATGGAAACATTACATCTCAGTTCTCATATCCAATAAATGAAGGGATTTAGTAAGTATCTTCCTATCATGAAACTGTTTAATTTTATAAAGCAAGGTGTTTACACAAATACTAGTATAGGATGGGACCGATTTAACATAGCTTTTAGCTGTGGAGGGCAAGATGACATTTTTCTTTTTATGGCATGCTTCACACTTTTGGCTTTTGTGTGTCATCCTTGTGCAGGAGCCATGCTAATCTTCCCTGTATCATTCCAGTTTTAGTAAATGTGCTGCTGAAGGGAGCACAAGATGGCATTTCATTGGTAGTTTATCTTGTGCATTTGAAGTGTTGTTGGAGTATAGTGAGTATAATTGCAAAAATAGAGATTTTAAATTTTGAAAAGTAGAACATTTTAGTTTAATTGCCTCTCTCCTCCATCATCCTGAGAAACAGAATTACCATTATCATCAGTTTTGTGTTACAACCCCTACAATGTCTGATGACTCTCATACATTTTTTTCTTCACTTAGAATCTAACCTCACTTCCATCCATCCTCCTTTTACTGAAATCAACCAATCCAAAGACATACCCTCTTTTGATTTCTTACTCTAACAACTCCAGAGCTGAATGTATAAGCAATAAAAAAAAAATTGTTCTCCATAATTAGCTGCCATTTGAACTGTCAGTATTATGTTCTTTCTTTAGCAATAAGTCATTAATACTCAGTTTGTTTCTGTAATAACAGGTTACTTTATTCAAGAGGGCTTTTCTACATTTTATTTTGATGAAACTGGAAAGAACTTTACCTCCTTTAGGAAAATAAAGAACTTTAAGAAACTCACCATGTAAGTAACCATTCTTTTTGGGGGTTAGAACCAGAGGGAAATTCTCATTCAGTAAACCAGGGTCCAAGTTATAAGCAAAATGGGAGTCGCATAACTCATGTAAAACAACTGAGGGTTTCAGCAATAAAATAATTCCAGGTCCAAGATATGTCTGTACTTGAGAGAAAAATTTATGGTCACTCAGAAGTTCAAGAAGCTCAGGGTATCTTCTCCCCCTGCCAAGGTATTCCCCAAAAGAAAGTTAACTCGGTATAATTTAGAAGAACTTTAAAACACAGGAGGGAACCTAAAACTCAGTAATTTTAGTGGAGGAGTGCAGTGGTACTTAGAAGAGTTGTGTTTTAAGAGCTAGAGCCTGTGAGGACAACGTGTATCTATCAGGAAGGTGGGTTCCCAACTGTGAGACCCTCAAAAGCTCAGAGCAGAGCTTCTCTTTTTATAGTGCCCCTGAAGCACCTAAAGAAAGATTTTACTCAAATGCAGATTCTTATCCAAAAGATCTTGAGTAGGGCTTGCATTTCTAACAAGCTTCCATGTGATGCTCATTCTATTGGTTCTTGGCCCATACTTTCTTTTTTCTTTTTTAATATATCTTTTATTGATTCCAGAGAGGAAGGGAGAGGGAGAGAAACATCAATGATGAGAGAGAATCATTGATTGGCTGCCTCCTGTATGCCTCTTACTGGGGATTGAGCCCACAATGTGAGCATGTGCCTTCACCTAGAATCGAACCTGGAGCCCTTCTGTTCTTATGTCGATGCTCTAAACACTGAGCTAGGGCCTTGGTCCATACATGGAACACCAAAGTCCCCATGAATGTCTGTAAGGGACACCCTGAAAACAGTGATGTTCAGCAGTAACAAAGAAATGGTAACAGGTGGTATATCCTCTGATTACCAACTAAATGACTAAACTCCATCTGGATTCATAAAAGGAAGCCTTTTGTAAGGATCTTTGCAAATGTTCTTCAGGGTAACCAAGATTTCTATTAGCAGCATGAACCAAGCAGGCATGTTCAAGGGTTTCTTTCATATGCATATTAAAGCTTACATGTCTTTTTTATCCTTTAACATTCAAAGTGGTTTTTATATAAATCTATATGATCCTGGTTACAAATTTAAATTTGGTAAGAAAAAAAAATGTCTATTCAGTCGGGACTTTGTCAAATCTTTCTATTTAGCATTGTCAATCTTTTCCTTTCTGGTGCCTGATTGCTAATCCCCATAGAGACTTGAGGCTAAAATTGTGACTAAGTACTTAACACTGGATGATGAAGTGAAAGACATCTTGTTCCCCTGAAGCAGAATGTAAATTCATTCCTAATGGAAATCATGGCTTTCAACCTCAAAGAACCTGATGAATTAATGAGCCACCTCTAGCATGCCAATATTTGAGCTGGTTTAGGAATTATTTCTTATGATGGTCGATGATTTGTCAGAAACATATGTAATTTTTCCATGGAATTTTAATGTTGTAAATGAGATTTTTTTAAAAATTAGGATACATTTCTTATAAATTTTATAAACTGCTGTTTAAAATGGTGTATCCATTTATTTTTTTTAAAAAATATATTTTATTGATTTTTTTACAGAGAGGAAGGGAGAGAGATAGAAAGCCAGAAACATCCATCAGCTGCCTCCTGCACACACCCCTGGGGATGTGCCCACTAGCTACCAAGGTACGTGCTCTTGACTGGAATCGAACTTGGGACCTTTCAGTCCTCAGGCCAATGCTCTATCCAATGAGCCAAACCTGTTTCAGCAAAATGGTGTATCCATTTAACTGTAAACAAATTTTCAATGGCGAGAGTACAGTGGAAATCAAGAGGAAAGCATAATAACCAAAAATTCATGCACCAGTTCAGCTCTTCCTAAACCCAAAGCTAAAAACCATTTTTTTTTTCCCAGAACAAAACAAGAATAATCTTTTTAATTAAACTTTCATCTCCCTAGGCTGGAGCAGAGGGATCACTTTATTTGAGCTGATTCACAAAAATCACCATGTCCTCTAAATGTGCATTCCATCCTCAGCATTCCTGTGGAATTTTTAGGCTGGTCAGTATATAGTTTACTGGATTGGAAAATCTACAAGAAACCATGTAAAAAAAACAACTCATTTTAAAAATAATTTTATTATTATTTTTTTTCTAGTTAATGATTGTGGAAAAGAATATATAGTGAGACTACTACTAAACATTTGATCTTATTATGATTTTAAACCATCCTCTATAGTTGGGTAGCTCAATTTTCTTTACTTGCAGGTATAATGCAACTATTTCTCTATTACTAACTATACTTTGAAACTATATCTGGTAATGTTTGTATAATGTGTCATGATAATGAGGGGAAGGAAGCTAGGTAGATAGGGGCCAGGCCATGGAGGAGAGAACCAGGAAACCGAGCTGGGCGGGAAGGAAGGATGCACACAGGAGACAAACTTTAAAATGTGTGGATGTTGCTAAGACAGGTAGCTTGCAAATAACCAGTCACAAGGTAGTGAAGCATATAAACCAACCCCAAGGATGTTGCTGAAGCAAAATTGAGGACCAATAAAAAATGAGCAAGGCATGTATCTGCCCTAGATTAAAAAGTGCTCACTTCCCCTCCCCTTTCTCTCCCCTCTTTTCTCAGTGCACAGTGGGTTCCTGAGTGTCCGGGGGCTCTTCCTGGGGGAGACGGGGACCACAGCCCTGCACCCACGTGGCTTAAGGCCATGTGGAGCTCCATGGAGTACTATTACTGTGTTTCCCCGAAAAATAAGACAGTGTCTTATATTAATTTTTGTTCCCAAAGATGCGCTAGGTCTTATTTTTAAGGGATGTCTTATTTTTCCATGAAGAAGAATACGGTACACATTTATTGTTAAATGAAAATAAAGGAAATTTATTACCTGTATACGGTACGGTCGTACGGTAGTTGTCAACACAAATCAGACAAACTGTGAATCCTGCAGTATCAAGAATTTACTCATTTATCCAATGATAATCATGTCATCATCTTCTGGAACATCATCCTAACAATCCAATTCCTGAATTTCCTGGTGAATTTCTTGTGACTCCATTTCTTTCAGAATCAGTGGACCAAATCTCTCATGTTTAGCCTAGGGGGCCTTATTTTCGGGGGGATGCCTTATATTTCACTCAGAAGAAAACCTGTAAGTAGGTCTTATTTTCGGAGGATGTCTTATTTTCGGGGAAACACGGTAATAGACTTTAACACCCAATGGTCACATGGACAGGAAGCGCTGGATGCTGGGCTGCTCCTGGAACCCCAGCTCACCTTTCCCGACTGGCCTGTTACCGTTTTTGTCTGAGCCCCATTCTTCAGTTTTGTGAGACAACGAACTCAGACTAAAACACCCCACATTTTGGTTTCAGCAAGATGTCTTATATTTAGATTGGACATTCCCTCCCCCCCCCCCCTAATTTTTCACCAGTCTTGGAAATACATTTTACTTACTTGACTCTTGACTCTGGTTTCTTCAAAGAGATATTTAGGCGTGTTTTGTTTTCCTTTCCACTTCCAGTATATGGTTGTGACCTTAAAAACATTACTTCACTTTCTAAAGGATCTTCTAAAGCACTGAAATGTCCTTGTTAACATTGTGTTAGGGAGTTATTCATTGCAACCCAGAGACTTCTTATTCTGTCTGTGTGTTTTAGAAGGGAGAAAAAGCTCACTTTATTATTGGGTCTTTTTTTGTTTGTTTCAAGGACAGGTGACATTTGATGTATTTCAAAAGATATATGGAACTTTCTGTTTTTATTCTAATTACCTGTTTAACAATGTTTAATGTTGTCACATAGAGTGAGTCCATAAAGCACTATCCACGAAGGATGTAAATGGTAATGACTGCTTCAAAAGTGTGTAGTTTAGGGAATGCGCAGTATTGGAGTCAGGAACATTCCAGTCTCTGAGGGGTTTTTCAATACAGCCGTGCTCAGAGGAACTGCCTTTATGATTTTGCTGAGTTTACCTCAAAGACATTTGATGTTTTATCCTTTGTATTTGCCAGGCAGCCCTCAAGCCAAAAAATTTACATGAGAAAACCATAGCGTCCAGACTTTTAATTAAAACTTCACATCCAAAATGCACTGGGATTTGATTTAAATATTTAGTTGAAACACAACTTTAAAAATAAAATAAGAGAAGGGATGTGAGACTAAATGATTGCATGACTAAGAGACGCTTGAATTTAACCATAAGAACACTGATAGGTTACTCCCCACCCATAGATCACTAAAATGAATAGCCCATTCTAGGTATATTGTAGTTGTTACTGGACTCCTGGGGTTCCTTTGCCTTCACACATCAAAGCGCAATAAGACCAGAACAGTAGTTTGCAGCACAGAAAGTAAGTTTTTATTTTAGGAAGTGGCTCATGCTTAGAGACACAGATGAGCTAATGCTTAAAGACCTGGCTCCCTGATGGTTTCCAGGGGATGGGTTATAGAAGGGGA